GAAAGTCAGAGGCGGTGGGGGGGTTTGAGAGAATGATTATTAATTAGGGTTAGTAGATTTGGGCCTTGGGCCTTTGGGAAGGATTTTAAATAACCAAGCAATACTTCACCCAAAAAGTAATACGTACCAATAAGTGTTTTTTTTGGATATTGGATCGGATATCCGAATCCAAAATTTGGTTATTCGATATCCGGTCCAATATCCGAAAAAAATCCGGATCGGATATCCATAATTTTCGAATTGGATCATCGGATTTTCGGATCTTCAGATAGTTTTGCTCAGCCCTAACCACAACAACTCAAAAGAAGAGGGAGTACGTAACCACGAGTACATGACTCTCTAGGTCACTGAGTCACTGCTCAGCCTTTTCAAAATTTCCACTCCCTCCAACATTCTCTCTCCTCGATAGATACTCCGAGATTCTTGGTTGTCGATGTTCTTAATTTGAACTTCATTTTTAGGCCTTTTCCACTGGTTGAACTAATTACTGGATTTGTAATTTAATAACCAACGCTCAATTGGGTTTCAATTTCTCAATTCACTGCAATTTCTGGGGTTATCCGTAAAATTTCAAGGTAATTTTCTCTTGAACCATTTCAATTTTTAGGTGGAAATTTTGTGAAAGAATTATCAATTGTTGGAGCTCAGCACTTCGGCTCCATGTTATTAATGGATTATGATAGGTCCTATTTTGCGCATGTTTTAGGTGGGTATCTAAGCTCATTTGATTACAAAATTAGAGATCTTTGGTGCATATTTGCATTATTTGCTTAAGTTGTGCTCTACTACTCTTCATTTGTGTGTTTTGATGAATTTCAGGTGATTTATATGCAAATGGAGTATGGTTGGCTAATATTGAGTATAATAATCATGGAGTATGAAAACATATTGCTTAAGAATATCAAATCATGTGTTCGAGACGAACTTGAGTGAAAATGAAGCAAAACGTTGATGAAATACTTGACAAATATGACACCTGTTCACTATTATGCTCATAACTTTTTGTATACAAATGATAATGGAGTTATTCGAATTTCATTGGAAAGTAGACTTGAAGACCTTTCCAACGATATATTACACATCTCAAACGGAGCTCCGGATATGAAGCTATGACTGATTTAAAATGAGTGATACGCGCAGCAGAGCAGGCACGTCCATGCCCAGAACCAGGCACGTCCGTGCCTGGAAGATAGACTCAACAGCAATTTGCTACGCAGTGTGGCACGTCCGTGCCTCCTGGAATCCTAGTGCGCCAAAGCTTGGAGTTAAATCTTATCTTTTTAGGTTTATTTATATACTCTTTTAGGCTTTGTTTTAATTCATTCATTAATTAATTAAGCATTGTTTTATTTTATTTTCTCTCCTTAAGCACTAGTTCTCCTTTTTTTTTCCAAGTTTTGTAATTCAAGATTCAAGATTCAAGGTTTCTACTTTCAATTTTATTCAAGATTTGGTATTTATTTTTCATCCTTTGTTATTTAATTATGCTTTCATTATTTATTATTGTTTTTGTTTCTTTAATCATGTGTGAGTAGATTCTTTAATTCAAGGTCTAGTGTAGCCCAAGTATTATTGATGCATGAATTAAATCTTTAAATTTTTTGACAACTTTAACAATTGAATTGCTAAATTGATTGTGATTATGCCAATGCTAGGTTAGACGTAACTATAGTATTGCGATTATTCCATTGTTTTTACCACAGCGAGAGCTGGGTATAAACGGATTTGAGTAAATTAATTTAGGGTTTGATTCATAACACGAGAGTAGTTATGTTTGATAATTGGGAAGTGAGAGTAAAGTGTTTAATGTCTTTAATATGCATGATACCATGAGAATAGGATTGATTGTATGATAGGGAAACCATTGATATTCGAGAGAGATCCTTGGTAATTATTAGGGTTTACTTTTCCCCGTTCGATTGAAATCGTATGTTAAGGGTAGAATTACAATTGCATTGATAATAATTGTGGTGAAACTAAGATCTTGGATGTTTTTTTTTAGTATTTGAATTAATCATATTAATTAGTTTGTTTTCGATTTTTTTTCCATATTTTAGAACCTTGGATAATTGATTTTATTCGATTCTTGCTTAGTAGAAATTCGAGTCTGCTTAATTGTTTTGAATCATAGTCTCTTGGGATCCGACCCTTACTTGTCAATCTACATTAGTATTGGTCTGTTAGGTTATTTTTGATAGGTACGCGACACGCCTACCAGATTAAATGCTACAATTTATCCAAATTTGTTAGTTATTGTAGGGTAATTGTAGAATTTGTTTATACTATTCAAATTTATGAAGAAATTTTCTAATAATATCATTCAATTATTTGCAGAAATGGTGGTGTTCGCGGCGAATTAGTGTATCACTGTATCAGGGTATTGGTATGTATTCTTCATCTAATTTCTTATTAGGGTTTTGCAATATTAATTTAGGGTTTTTTCTGCTCTATATTATTATTGTAATATTGCTGGAAATTAATTTGAAGGTAAAAATGAAATAGCCTAACTCATTTAGTATATGCTTGGATGATTAATTGGTTAGAGAGAACTACTGCATTTGAATTGATTTTGAGCTTTTCCAATGGCGGATCCAAGGGGTACACAGAGGTACATGCTTCATGTGCTTGTGTGATTAATGGGTTAGAAAGAACTGTTGCATTTGTATTTGAAACATTGAATGTTTTTTGCTTTTCAAATATTCAATGTTTAATTCATTTTGATTATTTCAATTTTTATTATCTAGCTGTTAGATTAATAAATTACTTCGTATATAGATAATATATGGTTGAATTAGTTTTAGTTTTTTCAAGTGAGTAGTTGAATTAGTTGTTAGATTAATAGATTATTGTCTCCTTATCATTTTATACTTAACTCCGTTCAGTTTCAATTAAATGCTTAATCAAGTAGAAAAAAGTGCTGGCTATTGCTAATAAAAGTTTCTATTGTCGATAATGTCTTGCTTTTCCTATTTAGAATTATACCCACCATCTGGTCGATGAAATGACAGTAGTCTTATTTTGCTCAGTTTCATGGTATTGGTTTTGAATGGCGAAAAGGGTATAGCTTGAAAATTTGGGAGATTGGAGGGGCATGTTAGATTTGTAGTTCTTTGTAATTACTAGACCTTTACTAGTAAAACATGTAGCGGCTGTTACAAGATATTAGAAAGATCCTTTGAAGGCGCTCAAAACATTTAAATCAGTCAGAAAAGAGGAGGGGTTCAAGCATAATTTGTTGACATGTAAATGCATGATAGATAAGTTTGGTTCACATGGGAATTCGAAGCTATTCAGACTTTGCTTTCGGATATGAAAATGGATATTAATTATAGGATTGTACAAAGAGTGTACGTTGGGGCCATCAAGTATTACGGAAAGAAAGGGAGACTTCAACAGGTAGTTGATGTGTTTGAGAAGATGGATTTTTACGAATGTTATCCGTCAGTCATGTTGTATAATGTCATCTTCAATATCTTGGTTGAACATGGTTACTTTATTCAAGCTCGTAAAGTATAAAGATGGATTTGTAATACAATTATGTAATTTATACTTTGGTATTGAACTCTTTTTTTTTTTTTCCTATTGAATTATTTTACCTCATAATATTTTTATTGAGTTCGTACCTCCATTCCCCAAATCCTGGATCCACCAGAGGCAAGGTCGTAGTGGTTATGGGTAGCTGTCAAGTTCTGCTAAAGATTGTGGATTGTAGTGTGGGCTATTATTCTGTGTGAGTGCTGCTTTGATGCTGGGAGGTAAGGTCGGGTTGGGGGATAATGGGTGGCTGCTAGTTGGTTGGCAGGAGGCTTTTGGTTGTGGGGCTGCGGCAGTGTCGAGCAGGCTGCGTGTGGGTAGGCACCATGCAGCTACTAGGTAGATACAGGGGGTGCAACTGTGCGAGTGTCAAAGTGTGTTTTAGTGTTTATGTGAGGCCTCGGTAGCATTTTGCAGGCTGCTTGTGGTTGCGAACTTGCAACTTGCATGTGTCGCTGTTGATTCTACTGGTGTGCAACATATGTGTTTGCAGTCGGGGGTCAGGTGCTGGTGTGCGTGTGTGAAGCTGTGGGGGTGCTGGGTATTTATTGGCGGACCCACATGTAGTCATTGTAGGTCCCAGGACACACTATTTTTTTTTTTTAAAAAAAAATTAATAAAAACTAAAAAATTTAGTGAATTGCTAAAACACGTCCAGTATTTACCGGGTAACGCCCGTATTTTAACATGACTTTATAAACATGCCCCCATACAAAATGTACCCTATTTCACTTTCACTTTCTTTAACCACTATCTAACTTGTTACCCCACAAACCACCAAACAACCATCACCTATGAACAGCTACCACGTCATATTTTGTTTTTAAAAAAATTGCTTTACCCTTCACCAATTAGCGCAAAACGGTGAATGGACGAGTTTAAGGAAGAAACGACGCCACTGGAAAGGTCGTCGGAGCATACGGAGTCGGTGAATGCTCTGAATTTTTGTCGTTTTTTTTAAAAAAAAAATTTAATTTTTTTATTTCGTAATCATAGAAGAAACGCCTTAAATTTTAGAATCACCCTTGGAACGTTCTAAAATTTCAGGCGTTCAAGGGGGGAAACGCCTGAAATTTTAGAATGTTATGGGGGGAAATGCCTGGAATTTTAGAATGTTCCGGGGGAGATTCTAAAATTTCAGGTGTTCCTTCCGTGGAACATTCTAAAATTTCAGGCGTTCGTCTGAAACGACTGTATTTAAAAAAAAAAAAAGTAAAACAAGTACCTGATCGCCAACCCTCTTACCTTTTCGATTTCTTGACATCGTCCCTTATAGCCGGTCGCAACCCTTGGTGGCGACGGAATTGTAGTGGCTTTGCTTGGTGGTGACGGAATTGTGGTGGTTTGCTTGGTGGTGGTTGTGGATGAAATTTTTAAGGTGAAGAGAGAGAAAAGTAAAAGTGAAAGTAAAAGAGAGAAGATTGAAGAATTATTTAAGTATGAGTTAGTTTATTTAAGTATGAGTTAGTTAAGGGGGTTCATATAAAAATACAGGCGATAAATAACGATGAAGTTTAGTACCCCCAAAATTTATTACTAATGTTATTTTTCTTTTTTCCCCTTTAGATCTATTTCACGGTACTCCTTCCTCTCTCTCTCCTCCATTGAAGCGTACTCGAAATTCTCCATTGAAGGGGCTTCTGAGCTTTCTCTCCTCCATTGAAGCAGTCTCTAAGGTTAGATGCTTCTTTTTCTTTAATCATCTAATATTAATTTTGACAATCTAGTGTTAATCGTGTATTTAATTGTCAGTATATACTCAATATAGGGTTCTTCGAAGTTGGATAATTGAACTATCGGTCATAGATACTCGAAGAATTTAACGTAACTTTTGGAGTCTAGTTTAATAATTGAGTCAATTTTGGTTGAATCTATGCCATTTCCGCTCTTGGGGGAATAACCGCAGTTGGTGCTCCCTTAGGCATTTAGCAGGGCCGTACTACCTACCGTCTTCTGCTTCTTGGCCTTGGCTTGCAATGAGTCCTCCTTTCCTTTCTATCAAATAGTATTCATAGTAAGACTTGCATGTCTTAATCATATAGACTAAGTGAACGAGGTACAGAGAAAGCGAATGTTACTCACCCGCCCGCCACTGCTAATGTGTTGCAGGGTTTGGTTTGTCAAGCGTACTCGAAATTCTCCATTGAACCGGCTCCTGACTTTCTGAGCTTTCTCTCCTCCATTGAAGCAGTCTCTAAGGTTAGATGCTTCTTTTTCTTTAATCATCTAATATTTATTTTGACAATCTAGTGTTAATCGTGTAATTAATTGTCAGTATATACTCAATTTAGGGCTTCGAAGTTGGATAATTGAACTATTGGTTATAGATACTCGAAGAATTTAACGTAATTCTTGGAGTCTAGTTTGATAATTGAGTCAATTTTGGTTGCTAATGTGTAATGTGTTGCAGGAGGGTGGTTTCGGTGTTGGTGCAGGGGGAGGGGGTGGCTGTCGGGGCTGGGCTGGGGGGTGGCTATCGGGCTGGGTGGGGAATTGTTTCATTAATTTGCTTGTTCAGTGAGGAAAATTAATTTGCAACATGTTTATTGAACTTAAAATTGCTATTATTTTTGGCTTTGTTGAATTTGGATTTCTTTTCAAATTGATGTTCATTAATTCTGTTTTTGATTGTATGATATTTCTGTGATAGTTGGATTAATAGAAATGTTATGTATTTCCTTCGGCCCAAAATTAAAGGAATTGTGTTGAAATAACAAGCTTTTACATCTTTATCATGGTGCAAAGTAGTTTTTTTGTTTGTTATCATTGTGGGAAATTTGAATAAGTTAAACATTTAGATTGATTTATCTAATTCAACCTTTAACTTCAATTTCAGAATGAAAAGAAAAACAACTCAAGATATTTCAAGTTTTTTTACTGAAAAAGTGCCTACTCTAAATCCTCCTCCTCCTCAAAATGATACTCCTCCTCCACAAAATGATCTACCTATTAATCAAAAGTATTTTTCTTTTGTTCATTATACAAGCTTTGACTATTTTTTGATATTATATGCCGTCGATGGACGATGATGGGACAACCTATTAATCAAATCCTGAATCCGCCACTATGGGCATAGCGTGTAGTTGCATTGTAGTTATGTCACTTATGTGTGCCCATCATCTTGATTTCTAAATGCTTCATTTGATGCAGGTGTTGGTGGCAATGGATTGTTTGGTGTTGTAAAATCTAATGGAGGGAAAATATTATTTGAAGTTTAGAAAAATCATGATTGTGATTTTTGACTATAAGTTGCTGACATTTATTTTTGTTATCAATATAGTTCGCTGTACTAGTGAGTAATTGACTTATTCGTCAATCATTGACTCTATGACTTGTTGTAGCATTAAGTTCATTAGATGTATTATTATGATTTAGTTGGACTTGGACTTTTGATGCTGACATTGTAGTACTTTATATCATTACGTGGGTTTGTGCGGAAATGGTTTATCATGAGAAAAAAATGTTGGGACCTTTTTTTTTAGACATACCCAGAAGACTGTTACTTCCATTGTCATTGATTTGTTACACTAGAAATGTAGGAATTTGGGGGTATTAGTCGTATATGCTTTCTTTAAATTGCTGTATGACTAATACCCCCCGAATATTGAACAGCAATTTAAAGAAAGCATATTTTGCCTTTATGATGCTCCCAAATTACTCGTGTGTATTTGGCAATTGAAGCACTATATGATTAGTGTCTGCCTTTTGTTTATATTTACTGCGAGACTGACCATCAACTTGATTGGTGGTTGGAAAATCTCTTGATTTTATTCAACTATAATTTATGCTTATAGTCTGCTTTACTATGTAACGATGTTAGTTGCACACTATGCTAACTATTCTGAGTTTTTGCTTCTTCCCAGAGTAAAGAGGATGAAAGTTAACATTTTACAATGGCATGCTGTAGCTTCATGGACCTGGGATGCCCAGGATGAAACATGCGGAATATGTAGAATGGCCTTTGATGGTTGTTGTCCAGATTGCAAACTACCTGGTGATGACTGCCCATTAAGTATGTGACTTTCTTTTTATTTTTTTGTAAACTTTGACTTCTTTTGATACCTGAGTGATTTTCTAATTGTCCTGTTGAATGGTTAAAGTGCAAATAGATATGCTGATCGAGTGCATTATGCGTATATAGACATCAGTGCGCCTGATCTAGTGTTTTGGCAATCTTTTTATTCAGAGTAGGAAATTTGCTCAATAAAATCCACTTAACATCTAGTATTCCAGGTGTTTTGTCTTTTAAATATGACAGCACACTCTTCTGGTGAGATTCAAGTATGTGTTTGCAGTACTGAAATAGAGCCTGTACTCTATAGGAGAAAAAAATAAAAATTGATAGTGATACATTGAGATCTGAAATGTATATGGTAATGTTGGTCTGAATCATGCAATTTGGTGGTGGATAGTGGGAATGAAGATGAAATGTGGTGAAAATGACATTGCTCATCTGGGTTAACTGGTTAAGTTATTTAAATAGTAGCAGGCTGCTGATTAACTGGAAAACAACTCCTCTGAAGTTGATCCGTGCAACCTAAACCCTATTCATCTAGTATGCTCATATGGCATAGGTCACTTGTCATCTTATGATCTTTTCCTCTGATCTCAGGATCTTCTGGATTTTAAATCAGAAATCAGAATACAATCTATGCCAAATGATGTATATGGTGATGATATAGTACCAGGTTGGTTGGCAAAACCAAAATGGTATTGGCATGGATTGGTTGCCTTTTTGTCAACTGCTATGCTTTTGTCCTTTATCAACCTCTCTTCTCGCTATCACTTTCAGAAATAGAACAAGCCATCTCCATTATGGAGAGAGAACTGTAAGTACGAGGATCCCTTCCCATGCTGAGGATAACAATTGGGATCAATTGTGACCAATGCTATAGGTGTTCACCAGGAGGAATTTGTCCATATCAGAGGGCTAATTAGAAGAAAATCAAACTTTGATGCCCAGAGCTCTAGACGATTTGAAGTTCCAGTTGAGGACTTGAACCCACCATCAACTGCTTTTGCGTTAAACTTTGTAAAGCATTCTGTTTGTTTCTGTGAACACAAAAAGAGCCTAATTGTGCTTGTGTTCTGAGGTGTCTAATATTTTACATGTGTGCATGGATTTACCATGGACTGTTTATACTTCCTCAACTAGCACAGGGAACAGATAGACAGTGTGTTTGTGTGTGTGAATTTCACTATTTTGTGAAGTGTTTTGGCTTGAGTGGCGTCCTTGTGTGTCCTTATCTTGAAATTTTACAATTATGAGGTTGGGCGAAACTAATGATGTTTAATGGTTGCAGTTTGGGGGCAATGCAACCATGCTTTTCATCTACATTGCATCTTGAAGTGGGTGAATTCTCAAACTTCTCAAGCTCATTGTCCTATGTGTCGTCGGGAATGGCATTTTAAGGACTGATCATTTCTTCACCTGTTCTTTCTCAATTATCACCATCTGGTGGAAATTGGCATGTTATTGCAGTGACTAACTGACTATGGTATAACTCTTAACCTATCTTATGTGGCGATATCTGTTTCAGCTTCAATCTCGTTTGATACAAGTGGTTGGTATTATATCCTATTTTGTGGAACAACTCACAAACTTTGCTTCAGTTAGCTATTCCAAAACTTCTCTTTAACTTGGTGTAATGACATGATTGAACTTGGTAGATGATTGAATTTACAGGTCATCATATTAGTTTGCACATTTTTTTTTTTGTTGATCATGATTAAATTACTTATAGTTTCATGATTCACGAGGAGCCAAGTGGCATGATGGAGCGATGGAAAATCAAAATCAAAATCAAAATCAATTTGAGCTGTAATTGGAACTTAAGTGTCAAAAATTGGAGCGCAGTCTCTTTCAATCCATGTAGATGAGGAATTGTACCTGTAAATGCTGTGAACAAGTATACTACTATGGTCATATGGGTCCTTTTCTCTATTTTTGTATAGATTGTTTTGGTTTTTTCCTCTCTTTCTGTCTTTTCTGTACAGGGAAGAATATAACGTGACAAGCAATTTTTTGTTGTTATTTTTGTGATTTGATGGTGATATACATGTTTCTGGTTCTTGTTGGTGATACATGGTGACTTGATGAGGTTCTTGTTGTATGATCCTGAGATACTACTTACCTGTACTCGTAGCATCTTCGACTGATAGAATTAGTTTGGGTGGGGGTAGATGGCTGAGATACTAAATAATCCTAGACCCGTCTTGATCTCTTGGATGATAATATGTTTAGTTGTTTAGGCTTGAGGATGATACCTGAGATCGATTCTATCTACCATACCAGTCATAGCTGCCTCAAATGAAACCTTTAGACAGTTTCAAAATGAGCAAGGACATAACCAACTGCTATGATTTGGGAAGGTGACCGATTACAATTAGAGAAAATTAGATTCGAGGGACTGATTCAAACTTTGTACTAACTGTAAGTTGATACTTCTACAATAGAGTATGAAACATATTCACGGGCCTCAACCATTAGTTTAAGCTTTTGGTTTAGATGGTCTATCATGGTTTCAGAGCCAACGTGATATAAAAATCACGGGTTCGAATCTCATCCACCCTCACCTAAGTGGAATATTAAGCGCTGGGTATGAAAAGGGTCTATGCTGTATTCACACTTCAAGCCCAATGGGCTCTCGTGTTAGGGAGCGTGATAGAGTATAAAATATTCATGCCTTTTTCTGGGCCTTAACCATTAGCTTAAGCTTTTGGTTGAGATGGTCCATGATATTCTAGTAGATTTAGTGAAGCTACTTCGTTTAAAATTATGGGGATTTTAAGATTTTCCCATATGATCAAAAATCAATTTTCATAAAATCAATTTTCATACAGGTTTCAATTGGCCAACTTTTGTGCCAATAATTAAAAAATCAAGACTAGACAAACATAACTAGACACTAGTAGATACATAAAAGTACCATTTCATAATCAGCAATTTTCACTTTAATTTCATCAAGAAATCCATGTAGCAAATCAACGGCGAACAATTTCATACATTATAAAAAAAAAAAAAAAAAAAAAAAGGTACTATTGAAAGTGAAAACAAGGCCGATTCAATGAATAACCAATCAAACTAAACAAGAAATTTCTGCTGCATACTCATCATCAACGACAACGAGCATCCTTCACACCATTTCTGCTCAAAAACAAAAGTCCTCTTGTCAATGTATGTTCAACTAGAAGCATTATTAAGTTAATAAGAAAAACGTGACAAAAGCTACATCTTATTATAAAAATGTCTTCTATTACTTCGGGGTTGTAAGATGGTTGCACCAATGAACGCGTAAGATACTTATAGTTATTTAATAACATGCTTAAGTAACACCTATTTTTTCTGCATTTTCTTTCAAAGTCATAACCCTACTTATCTTGTATGTAGCGTGTTACAATTTTGTTTTTATTATTACTTGTCTTATTTTGGTTTTTTTCCAATATAAAAAGTGGTCCAACTAAATGATTTATAATCATCAAATAAATCCCTCGCACTAGTGGCCAATACTTATTATCAGGTGCTTATGTCGGTATAGGCAGAAATCATGTATTATAATTTATAATTGTTTTTTTGGAAACATTATAATTTATAATGTTAATAAACAATGTTTTCAGATACTTGGGGATTCTTTGGTACGGTTGATGAACTAACCATTAATGGGAAGTCAAATAAGATGTGCGGTCAAATTGTATATGATGTATTACAAATTGTATATTTGTATTATACTTCCTCTATTCTAATAATATCGCAACAAGAATATGTTAAATATTTATAAAAAGTTGATAGTTTGAAAGTATTGTATGTATACTATATTTTGCTTAACATTTAAATCATATTATATGCATTTTGTCCAAAGTATTATACAAGTAAAAAAAAGCGTAATTGACTAGAAGAGGAAATGAAACACGTACAAGGAGTGAAGAGATCATCTGAGGATGACATAGAGTGCATAAAGAATTCCAGGGAGGTACCCCAATAACGTCAGCACCAAACAGATCCAAAACTCAACCTGTTCATATCAATCGAATAAATACTTGTATAATATTAGTTTTGGCTTAGCCAAATATTTTCACAAAATCATTTAATTTTCTAACCATTAATCAAACAAATAATTACCCCCCGTCAAAAAATAAAAAAAATTCAATCAAACAAACAATTACTCGGTATTCATTATTCTTTTGAAGGATTCAAATGAATCACATATATACGAGTACTACGGAGCACTCATATTAAATAACATGAAATTTTGATAGAGTGCCACGTATCTTTTTCTTTTACATTGGTTTTTGATTTCATGCCCCTTAAAAACTCTTTCTTTTCGAATTGATTAATAATTTATTAATTACGTATTTTTATCTTTAAAAATTTAAGAACGTATTGAAATTGAAGGGCTTTTAAAATTGTTCAACACCACAAAACGTTAAACCTAGCACTTCGTATAATTTTAAAGACAAGTATCGTATTATTAAAAAATCCTAATTACTTCATAGATCACTACAACACCTACTTCTTTGAATTCTTCCTTTCCAATAAAAAAAAGAAAAATGATATCTTCTAAGATAAGTTAAAATCCCATTTTTTATAGTCATAACCTCCTTTATCTCTAAACCACCAAGACATAGTTAAAAAATTACGATCAATACACACATAATTTTTTGAAAGTATGTCTTAATACTAATCACATAAAAATTATTAAAGAAGAATTTTGGAGCCTTATTGAATATTGACCAAAAAAAATGTCATGTATCGAAGACAATTAATTCCTCAAATTTTTGGTTATAAACAAAATCCATTATTTATACACCTAATTGATTTAAAACAATTTACGAAACAATAAGGGAAAAAGAATAGAGCGTAACAAATTAAAATAGGTGCGAAAAATATATATACCTGGCAGCCAAACTTCAAGAAAACACCAAGAGGAGGCAGAATGATGGCAAGAATGACGTCGATGAAAGTTGCTGTACTCATTTTTGGATTTGGAAATTGAGAGAGTTTTGAGTAAGAGACTTAATAATAATAGAAGTATAATAATGAAAAATGATATTTGGTACAAGTATCTCAATGTCTCTAGAGTGTATATATAGTGAAAAACTGACTGTACCACGTGTCTACAGCTCATTTGTCCAACTAGGTTTGACACTGTTAAGTAAAGGGGCTTTAAACCGTTATCCCTTTACAAAATTTGGAGTTTTTTTTATATTAATAAACTATGTCGGCCAATTGGTTGGTAGATCCTACATATTTGCCAAAAAAAAAAAAAAAAAAAATTCAACACTTAATTCTTTTCATTGTTGCTGATCAATTTTATCTACAGTACTATAAAATTCACTTTGCAATGAATTTTTTTTTTTTTTTAAAGGATTACGGAGTAGAACACTTGCAAAGTTGCTGTAGACATCAGAGCATCTCCAATGGTATACAAAAAGAATCTGATTGCTAATTAAATAAAATTGCAAGCATGTAGCTTACCATTGGAGTGGCAATATTGATGTAGCTAGATTAAGCAACCCTGCTCAAACAAGTTAATTAGACTATCTCCAATGGTGAGACTTAAGGAAGTTTTTTAGGAAAGAGAGAATATTTTTTGCAAAGGATACCAATAAGTTGGTATCTAAACTTAGCAACTCTATAAGAAAGTTGCTAAATTTAGATATTCAAGTCTCAACTTTGAGTCTCATTTGACAAAAAGTGTGGGCCCATATTATACAGTAATATATTTTGTAATTTATTTAAGTTTTAATTTTCTTTTCTTTTTTTGGAAAAACTACAATATGGATTTAATGGTCTATAAATTGAAAGTAACATTAGTATACTTTAGATATTCTTACCATTGAGAAATTAGACTTTACATGTGTTGCTAGATTGAGAAGTGGATTGAGTATCACCATTGGAGGTAAAAAATAACTCATTTTGTATTTCAATACTCAGAGTTGAACCTTACCAGTGGAGATGGTCTTATGTTGCTAGATTTTTTAATTTAAAGAAAATTTTATCCACTTAAATTATGACATGTATATGATTAAAACTATTTTATTTATTTATTTTTCCAAGCTACAATATGCTATTGCTCACCATTGAAGCACTTGGTAGCTTAAAAATATACTGCTTAAAATTTCGATGTATCAAGATACCTTGTAGCTCGTTGAAAGTGCTCTTATATATCTAAGCATAATTTGTTATGATAGTAAATTTCCATCGATCCCAAAGTTAGAGAAATAATACTTTAAACTACATATGAGGTGTTTAATACAAATAGGTCTTTCTTCTCCAATGTGTGACTATTAACATGTGCAAAAGCAACACAACATGAAATTTGAAATGAGTTTCCCATAAACGTAACTCTAAAGTCGGCCGAATGTAAATAGACATGTTGCCAGTGATATTGATGGAGAGTGAATTTTCTAGTTAATGTCAATGGATAGCATAATAATAATACCTAGGATTGACTTCTTTTTTTCCTTCTCTAACTAAAATTGGTACAATTATTAGGACAATCTCCTTCCCCCAAAGTCACAATATTATTCACACTTAATATGGTTGTTAAAAGTTAGGCTAAGAACAAAAAGGCGGGGGTTATGTACTTATGTGTCAACGAATTCTCTACTATCTCCAATAAAACTATTGAAAATTTTACAATAATTACCTTTAAAATGACTACCATTATACTTAATTTTCTACTACGTATATATATCAAGTCTTTCAACTACTCACAATATATTGCATGGACTATTATGCACTTATGGAGTAAACCAATTTATTTGAAATATAATGAAGTTTTTTCACGAGTATTTATTGATATACAATATACATCGTATATAAGATAAAACATACTAGTATAGGATCTTGTGAAATTTGTAATAATAATGTGTATTATTGTAGATACACGTAATATAATTAATATCACATGGACTTATGGAGTTAACTTGTGAAGTAGTATAACTTACTTGAAATACTAAAAAAAACAATTGGAAAGAGGTGCATAAATGCTACAACTGGGCCGGTGCATACATGGTGCAACAAGATGCCTGGGCTCGTGTACAAGCTGTAGTATCTTGCAAAAGCTACCTAGTGGAATACTCGTATAATGCAAAACATTTATACTTATATTTTTTCTTATATGATATGATATGTTGCGCATCTCATACGGTTGATGCTTATTCCCCAATTCATGATGAGCCGTTTAGTGGTCAAATACATTGAATTGGTTTTTTAACGAATTAAATGATGACACCCATTGTATACAAGTTTATGCGTATTATAAGAAGCCAGTGATGAGTCGATGTGTCATATGTTAGTCTCTTAAACTTGGATAATGAAAAATGATTAATTAACATTAATAGTAGGCATAGCTTATAAGCAACATTATTGATTAATATACACCTAGAAATACATAGAGTTATACACTGAGGTTTTATAAGAAGTAAAGTACTTTACAAATACAAAGAATACTCTTCACGCTAAATCAACACATACATATATAATTGACAATGAATAACCAATCAAACTAAATTTAAGAGAAGAGAAGAAAAAAAAAAAAAAAAAATACTCTTCACGCTGAGGTCGAGGGTCCTTTTCCACGTCTTACCTCTTACCTGCTCAAAAATGAAATTACAAAATTTAAGAGAAGAGAAGAGAGAAAAAAAAAAAAAAAAAGGTGGGTTCAATGAACCCACTAGAATCCACTGTGGGTCCGTCCCTATGCACTTGAGACTTTGGGCTTTTCCCACTACCTCCGCCTAGCATGTTTAGTTATGACTTACGAGCGAGTAATTTTTATATGCTTGTATATTAGTTGTAATCTTTATTACGTGCAACCTGAACTAGTTTTCTCTATGTAAGTCCTTGTTAAAAACCAGGATTAATAGCATATTGATTATATTGGGAGAATTTGTCAAACAAAAAAAAAAAAAAAAGAGTTTTTTTTTTGGGTAATTATCACTGGTACACTCCATCTTTTGGCTTTTATCTTTGGTACACCGACTTGACTATTGTTTATCAGTGGTACACCCAAGGTTTTACACAGTTATCAACGGTACACCTACCGTACCCTTTCCGTTAAAAAAACGTTAGTTTTGGCTTTTTTTTCGATTTATTTATCAATGGTACATCAAAGGTTTCACACAGTTATCAGCGGTACACCTACTTTACCCTTTCCGTTAAATAAAAAACGTTAGTTTTGGTTTTTTTATCGATTTTTTAACTTAAAAAACTGACACGTGACGGCCTGTGATTAGTCCAAAAAAATAAAAATAAAATAAAATATAAAATTTTAAAAAAAGTTCGATTAATTTTTCCTATTTATTATTATTATTATTTAAAAAAAAAACAAAGCCCTCTCCTTTCACGGCCTTCAGCCACCCCCTTCCCTCCCTGCCCTCATCCCTTCTCTTTCTCGGCGCCCGACCCCATCCCGCCGGCGACGCCCTCCCTTAATCACCTCGCTGGCACCCCTCCCACCAGCGATCCCTTTTGCAACCCCTTTTCCCCATCCCTTTTCCGGCACAACCTCCTCTACCCTACGCACCACCCACCTACGGACCACCAATCCAAAGCACCACAACGAAAGGAAATGGGAGGTGAAAGGGGGGAGGGGAATTTGATTGTTTTGGGGTCTGATTGTAGGGTCGTAGTTGGGGGGTCGAGTTATATGTTGGTTGTCAAGCTGCAGGGGTTTTGAGGTTTGTGGTGGTGGTGGTGATGGTGGTGGTGGCGCCACAGTATTGTTGGCCTATGTGGTGGAAGGGGTCGGAGGAAGGCCATAGAAGGGAGATGAGGGAGAAAGAAGGTTTTTTTTTTTTTTATTTTTTTTTTTTTTTTATTTTTAGAATTAAGTTAAAAATAGTTAATTAATTTTTTTTAAGTTACAAAATCGAAAAAAAAGCCAAAACTAACTTTTTTAACGAAAAGGGTACGGTATGTATACTGCTGATAACTGTGTGAAACCTTGGGTGTACCACTGATAAAAAAATTGAAAAAAAAGCCAAAACTAACGTTTTTTTAACCAAAAGGGTACGATATGTGTACCGCTGATAACTGTGTGAAACCTTGGGTGTACCACTGATAAATAATAGTCAAATAGGTGTATCAAAGATAAAAGCCATAAGTTGGAGTGTACCAGTGATAATTACCCTTTTTTTTTAAGCTATGTCCCTCAGATAGTTGAGTTTCTAAGATATGTCCATGCCTTTTAATTTTCTAAGCTATGCCCCTCAATTCACTGTCATTAATGAATTGTATCCTCTTTGGACGTTATAAGTTAACTGAGGTTAGATTTAAATTTCAGAAAAAAAAAGGCAAGGAAAGGAGAGAAAAAAAGAAACCCTAGCTACCACAACCCTAACCACTGAAACTCCAACCACGAACACCAACCTCAATTAACTTGTAAACATCCAAAGAGGGTACACTTAATTACTAACAGTGAGTTGAGGGGCATGCCTTAGAAATTTGAAAAGGTATAAGCACACCTTAAAAACTTAATTACTTGAGGAGTTTAGGGGCATAACTTAGAAAAATCCAAAAAAAAATTCCATTATTAAGAGAACATTTGATAAGAATGAAGAATATAGTATAATTTTTACGGAGTATTTATTTAAATTAATATGCTTTTCTCAAATAATAGCCCCACATATATCTTGTAGATAATGTGTTTATGTGTCATACTTTTAGTTTAGTTGCTCCTTTTAAAAGTGGAGTCTAATTAATCAAGTAATCTTCAAATCAATCCAGCACATAGTAGCCAACAGTAATTAGGTGCGTTGATGTTGGTATTAGTAGAATAAAAAGACTAGAATCGAAATATCAAATTGTAATGATAACACACTCAATAATGCTTTAAAATATTAATATTAGGTAGGATTCATATCTTGGATTGGTTGGATATAGAGTATACAATTGAATGAAATCAAAGTAGATATATAACTGTATAAGAAATTGTTTTACGTAGTATATACTTTATATAAGACTCCTAGACACTAGAATCCTAACTAACTCGTCGTCACACTTGGTAGGTTTATCAATGTTGTTAGTTGTTATTGTAACATATCTTTAGATGAAAAATTATTAGAAGT